TGTTTTTTTTTTTTTTTTTTTTTTTTTTTTTTTTTTTTTTTTTTTTTTTTTTTTTTTTTTTTCTTTTTTTTTTCCCCTCTCATTAAATGAATGTCAATTATGTTGGTAGGAGAGGCTTGTTAACATGCTTTCAGCCTCTAAGTCCTTCTGGTTTATAGCTGTACAAATCGTAGATGGAAAATTTCTAGAAGCAACTTGTATCTTGGTCTCGTAATTTGCAAAATATTTTTAATGGCATTTCAGTAAGGTGCTTTTTAGTGCAAGATTTCTAAACCCCAAGTACTCCAAGGTACCTTCACAACCTGCATGATGTATCTGTGTTGTAATTTTCTCAAGTGCTGTATTTGACCTTCAGATTATTTTTCCTTTGAGAAGAAGAAGCTGCAAGCCACAATCATGTCCATTTCTGGTTTTAATGCATTTTTCCAGTTCAGGAGAAACAATTTGGTGTTTGACAAACATATTGTTTCCTTATTGATAACAGGATGTTGCTCTGTTGGACAGAGTGATTAAAGATGATGTTGAGTCTGGAAAACTGCCTTTGTTGCTCGTGGCCAATGCTGGTAAGTGCTATGGACAAACAATAAAAAATAAACCCTGCTATTTCACAAATATATAATGCTATTTCATATATATTATATATATATATATAATATGAAAATCAAAATATATTTTCTTAAGCAGCTTAATGGTTGCATATCAAGAAATACCTTAATGACCACACAACAATTATCTGTCTAGAGGGGTTTTTATTCAGCTGATTTTAGGCTGGATTATACTGCTGTGATTCTGCTTACGTCAGTTGATGTATTAATATGACTGTAACTTATTTTAGTGAGTGCAAATCTCTTGTTGAAAATCAGTTTCACGTTAACACTTTTTGATGGATGTGCCATCAACTTTAGCTTGAAAAATTCCATTTTCCTTCTTGTTAACTAAACACAAGTGCTCGTGAACAAAACTTGCTCTAAGTACAAATGACGGAGGTGACTGTTACTTGCTTTGGGCTTGGTAAAATATCTGGGATGTCAAGCAGGAGGAGAGGTGCTTTGTGCAGAGCCCTGGCGTGCAGGCTGACCCTGTGTCCCTCCTTGTCCCCGTCCATCCCAGGCACTCCCGGTGCGGGGCACACGGACAAGCTGGGCCGGCTGAAGGAGCTCTGTGAGCAGCACAACATGTGGCTCCACGTGGAAGGGTATGGCACTGGGAGTTTATTTCTCCAGAACTGTGTTCATTACAAAGTCCAACTAATTCCCAGCACGGAATTTTACAGCTGATCAGCTGGTGGGGAGCCACAGGGCCAGCTTTATTGTTGTCATGTTAAGCGTTTTATGTGGTTATAATTTGGTCGTTTTGAGATAGAAATTGATTTACATACATAGGAAGAATTAATTGGAGAGGTTTCAGCATAGATTAGTGATTGCTTTTATTCATATGGTAATCTTATCTGCCCTTTCTTTGAAGGGCTTAAAGTTTGATTTAAAAGACCTTGTAGGCCAGGGAGCCTGGAAGACCTTCTAAGTGAGGGAGGATGTTCTGTAGTGATTATTGAGAATGAGAAGGGAGAGTGAAATGGGTGTGGAATAGATGACACTTGATGAAGGTTGTCAGGAATGCTGCAGCAAGTGCAGCGTGCATCATAACTGAGAGGGGGATTAAACCAAGAGGAAATGAAATTCCAAGAACTTAGACAATGTCAGTGAAAACTCCAGTGTTCCAAGTTTGTGCCTGGAGCAGAGAGACTGTTTCTCTTGGTATTTCATAGTGTTATATTTGCATGCTGTTTATTTCTGATACCAAATTGATGCTAAATTATGAGTAGTACTTTAGGGGATGATTTCCCCAAAGGTTGGACTGAAACACTTATAGATTGAAATGGATTTTTACTTTTGAATTTTCAGCCCTGGAATACCAAGTAGCAACATCTACTGCATTGTTAATGAAAAATATATGAACAAAAATTACCTCCCTTTATGCGTCAACATAGAATATTTAAACTGCAAATTAAAATGCTGTCTGTTAATACATATTTAATATGTGCTAAGCCCACTTTTTGTTTTTTTCAGTGTGAATCTGGCAACTTTGGCTTTGGGTTATGTCTCCTCTTCTGTACTGGTATGTTCATCTAGAAACTTAAGAATGTGCTCTAGATTTTAAGGTTATGATCTAACCCAAATCCATATGGCTTACATTCTGCTTACTGTAATAAACTTCAGGCTGCTACCAAATGTGACAGCATGACTCTCACCCTGGGTTCCTGGCTGGGGCTCCCAGCTGTGCCTGCAGTGACTCTCTACAGACACGAGGACCCATCCTTGGTGAGTTCAGCTCCTCAGTCGAGACCTTGAGATTTTGATTTTGACCAGTGTAGTGTCTTGTTCTTGATGAAGGTCTAAATTATAACTTGCAAAAGCTGGCAAAAAATGGCAGCATTGAGGAGAGGTTAATAATGTTCTGTTTGTTCTCTTCCTCAGTCCTTGGCAGCCGGGCTGACATCGAGCCAGCCTGTGGAGAAGCTCCGTGCGCTGCCCCTGTGGCTGTCCCTGCAGTACCTGGGCCACGACGGCATCGTGGAGAGGATAAAACACGCCTCCCAGCTGGTCAGCAACAGCTCAGCAGTGCTCCAGGATAGCTGTCAATAGAGCCTTGGGGTGACTGGGGTGCATTGTAGAAGAAGCAACTGAAAATACTGTAGTTGTTGACAGCAGAGCACATTGGTTCATATTGTTACACACAGATGATGAAAGCAGAGAAGAGTGTTTGAGGGAAGGATGTGCTTTTACTGTTAGATTGTTGGGTTTTTTAAATCAAGACATAATCAGTCTTTGTTCTTTCTAAACAGTGAAATAACATAATCACTTTTTTTTGTCACTTTTAACTGTTTTTGCTTGAAAGCTGTTCAGAGAAAGGCTTTCTTATTTTCCTCCTCTACTTGGCATCATATTTAAGTGATAGTAAATTACTTTTAGAAAGAAGGACTTCAAACCATTTCTTGAGATACAGTGGGAAGTGCACTGTTTTTGAAGTTGAGTCCTTACCTTAGTAAAAATAAAGTCCAGTATAATGTGGTAGTTACAAAATGTGTTGTTTACATGCAAAACACTTTTTAAAGGTGCGGCACATACGAAAAATCAAAGAAAGGCAAAATAGAAATGAGAAGTCTCTGTAGTGGTTAGTGAAGAAGCTGTTGGCATGAAAGACCTAAAGGAATGAGAGAGCATCATTAGTGAATAAGATTTTGTGGCATCTAAGATTGATCTTAGTTTTTATTATAGTCTTAAACCACAATGTAAGAGTGTCTTTTCTAAGAAGAAAATGTTAGGAAGCCACCAGAACCAGTGGCTGTGATAGCTTTGACAAAGTTAACTTGTGCTACAGCACTGCTTTAGTTGGTCACTGGAGCTGTAACATCTCTGGAACTTTGTCAACAAATACACCAAGACTTTATTTTAGTGAAGATCACTCTGTAGTCAGTGTCTTACTAAAACAGACAGTATTTTTCTCTTAAATTCTAAATTTACAAATAAAAACTGGATGAATGTCTGAGGTGTTGTAGAGGTTTGTTCAAAACTAGGAAGTTACTCTTTAATGATTTTCAGAATAATTTTCAACTTCTAAATCTGTGTTTCTCTTCCTTTTGTTCCCCCTCTGTGTGGTCTTCTAGAGTCAAAGGCTGCTGGAAAACCTGAAAAACCTGGATTTCATTAAAACTTCGGTACAGTCTGCTTTTAATGCTTTGGTTATATAGCTTGGTGTCTGTCTGCTAAATGATAAGAATAACTTTGACTAAAACAGATACTTAAAAATATTACTTAAATCATAGGCACCGTTTTGAAGATGTTTTCTGCTCAAGTAGAGTGAAATGGCTTGTTTGTGTGTGACCTGTAGATTGAGTTTGTTCCACTGCTCTGTGCTTGTGCACTCGGGAGCTGACAGAGTAACCTCCAGAAACTGTGTTCAGAAGTGATTTAATTCCATTTAAAACATGGATTTTCTCAGTAATACATCCATCAATTCCAAATGCAGTTTCTGAGATGTTCTGTCCAACAGGGTTTGGTGATTTTACTCCCTGCCCCCATGCTCCCAATTTTAATTGACATTTGATGTATAGAATATGTAGTCATCTTATTGAGTTAAGCTGTAGAGTTTTAATGGCCTTGGAAGTTCAAGTTACTGACTCATTTAGCCTTTCCACTTAAATAAATCCTACATCTTTAGGATTGTGAAATGCAGCCTCAGGTTGCCTCCATGCCCAGTCCATTTCTGCTATCCCCAGGGCAGGATCAATTATAATCTTGTTATTCCTGCTGAAACTTCCTTGATGTTTCCCAATGATTCTGCAGTGATTCCCAAGAGAATTTTTTTAATGTTAATATCTGAAAATACTCAAAACTAAATAAACTTTAATATTTGCTGTAGTATATTTGCTAATTGCTGTATTTAGATTTTATACTTCATAGTGCCCAAATTTTAACGATGCATACCTTGAATTAATCCAGTTCTGCCCTAACTGCCTAATGATTTACTTTCCTGTGTTTAGAGATGTTTGTTTCCACTCCTGGAGTTCACTTCCAATACTGAGATAGTATTAACATTGTTACTGCTCAAAAATGCTCTACTCTCCAGTCTAAGGAATTATGCACAGTGTTAAATCTTTAAAAAATACAGAAAAATATATCTATTTTTTTTTTAAGGTCGAAGATGAATTGAGTTCACCAGTGGTGGTTTTCAAGTTTGTCCAGGAATATTCAAATAGAGGTATGTGATTTACTGAAAATCAACCAAAAAAAAAATCTCTATTATTTTAAATAATAATTCACTAAATGAATTTGAGATAGATGTTATGTAGTGCACTTCTCTTGTGTAACATGATTTTTAAAAGATTGTGAATGCTGCTCATAATCTAGTGACACAATCCATACACGTGACAGCTGCTTTTTTTAGATAGACCGCAGTGGTTTAAATTTTCATAACAAGTAATTATCTGCCTTCTTGAGTGAGGAGAGATTTGCATATGATTTCGATCTTGAGAGCAGCTGAGGGAAGTCTCTCACAAGCTGCAGTGTTTGACTGTGCTGGTGGGGGAAGCTCTTGGTTTGTTGAGGTTTCCTGTTCTTTCAAACACTTGGTGGCAGTGGCAGGCACCGCGTTCCTCCAGTTCACTTGGCTGTTGCAATAAATTAAAATCCAGCAGAACACATTAGGAACAGCTCTGGAAATGCTGTCACCTGTCTCTGAGCAGGACATCTGCACTCAGATGTGCTCCCAGGACAGGGGATTTTGTCCCCTCAGTCCCAGCAGAGGATGTTGCTGTGCTGATTGTGTGTGCACACCCTGAGAGTGGCAGCGTGGCCATGGCTGAGGCAAAACACTGCCAGAGGAACCTGTGGTGGTGTTTGGAGTGTTGGCTTTAATTGCCTGGGGATTTTTTTTGTTGGGCATGGGGGACTCTTGATTTGGGTTTAATCTAAGTAATGGTTGTCCTCACAAAGTAAACCTACTCATCCAGCTCCAGTGACTTGGTGGGATTGCTTTGTATATTAATTTGAAAAACTTTATTAGGGAGAAGTCACCCACCTGAATTATAAGGATGTAAAATGTCCATTTCTGATGTTTTATGTTTATAATGAGCTCTTAAATTCTTAGTAGTATCTTTGTGTGGCTTAAAACCAAGTAATCATTAAAATTTGATTAATAAGAAAAGTAGCTGAATGCATCAAATTAAATATTGCAGCCTGCTGAGACAGAATTTTGTGAAAACACTGATTTTGTTTCCATTGGGGCATTTGAACCTCAAAACTCAGAAGTCTTTTACTGAGTTTTTTTAAAAACAGTTACATTCAACTGTGTTTTCCTTCTAGTATTTATCCTGTTCAGCATACCTCTACAGAAAAGTCCTTGCTGGTCTGGTTGAGGCTCAGAACGTGGTGTAAATGTGTTATGTTATCTAGGAAATGTAACTGTCTTTTATCTAAATTTTAGGTTGCCTTTTGTTTAATTAAGTAAATAAAAATCCACTTCTGTGATTCTTATATCTTTGGATTCAGATCAGACCTCACATGCTGCACAGGCCTCAACTATTCAGCACCCCATCATAAGCAACGAAAGACACATTTATGACACTTTCAATCAGTGGGTAAGAATTGATGCTTTTCTCTTTAGGGAAAGGGAAGTGACAGTGGAATGGCTCAAGATTCATTGGGATTTATAAACCCTTTGCTGGACTAGTTTGAAAGTTATTCTCAACCTGATAACCTTTGCAAAACTAGAGGATATTTTGGATTTAAAAGATTATTTTGCTCTGAAACAAAGCTGCTTTCACATTTCTGATTACTTTACATGTAATTACTACTGAAGTCATTCCTGCATCTTAAGCTGTTTGTTTTTCCATTGGTCTTGTGGGAATATGTGAAAACTCTGGAATTCTTTTAAATCAGCCAGATACTCTGTTGACAGTGTCCATGTATTCTTGAATAGACACCCTTATTTTCCAGCTCTGGAGGGTAAATTCTAGAAACCTGTGCTGTCAGAGAGCTGATCACATGGCTGGGTTGGGTTGATTGTGCTGCAACCATGGCACCCTTAATGTGTGGCCACTGAGGGACAATTCTGCAGAAACTTACGATTTGTAACAATTGCAGCTTATCCTGAATTTTGTTGATTTTAAGGATGTGTCAAACTCAGCCATGTCCCCAGTGAACTGCAATGTTCTGGTACAAGAACTGATTTTGAGAAACGGGGAGAACTCCTTGCATGGGGTTCCCCTGAGCTGAGGGCACAGCCTGAGGCAGGGACTGCAGGAGATGGTGCTCTAACTGTGCCCTGTTCCTGCAGCTGGGAGAGCAGCTGGCACAGCTGGTCCCTGCCAGTGGAGTGGATGTGGTGGAGCTGGAAGATGAAGGCACCTGTGTGCGCTTCAGCCCCCTGATGACTTCTGCAGGTAACACTCCCTTGCAGGCAGCCCCTGGTAAATGCTGGCATTTGCTGCCATCACATTCATCACTCACTAACACATCTGCTCTTTAGTTTTAGGAACTGAAATACAAGACATTGATCAGTTGGTGGACTGCTTGAAGATGAAGATACCAGTATTGACAAGCACTCTGCAGCTGAGAGAGGAGTTTGAGCAAGAAGTGAGAAGAACAGTTGGCCTGTTGTATATTGAAGACCTTGGCTGGCCTGGGTTAGGTGTTGTAAGGTAAATTATCTTCTTCATTGTTTGGATAAACTGTGCTTTAACAGACACGAATACATGACTGATATGCTGAATAGCACTTGGAAAAAAACCTCCAAGTGCCTGTTCTGATCCTTTGGGAAGGCTTCTGTATAGTCAAAACAGTTCAAGTATAATCAGCTACAAATCTACTGTGTTCAGCTTGCAATAGCAGACTCACCCCACCCCAGAATCTCTGATTACAAGTGCCAGTAAACTTGCTGATCTGAGCTGTAACATCCATAAAGTACAGCTACTTGCAGAAACGTGCTAAATGTGCAGGTATTTTTGTATGTACTGTAAAGTAAAATTACCATTCCTTGGCTTGAAGGTACAACTACCACAGTGATGAGAAGAATGATGACAAACAAGAAAAAGAACTAGAAAAAATCAATACAGAACTCCTGAAAAAGTTAAATGAACTGGAGTCAGATCTCACTTTTTCTTTGGGTAAGTGCACTGTTTAAAAAACTTCTGTTCAAGCTAATAGTCATTGTCCTGTCTGTGTTAGAATGGTTTGATAGGTCATTACAGTGCAACATTAGCTGCTGCCTACGTGGTTACTGCACAAAGAACATCTGTAACTGTTACCTCCTCCCCCCTGTTTCAGCTGGGTAGTGTTCCCCAGGTGAGCAGGGTGCACTGTTCCAGAAATACCTGTGACAACTGATTTATGGGCAGCTTGACCAAGAAGAGTTTCCTTGTCAGAACAAATAAAAGCTGCAATGTTTCCTGTGTGTAAACTCAGCCTTCCCAGGTTCTGCTGGATCTGGTGAAAAGCAGCTCTCATTCCAAACCCACTGGCACTCACTGTTTCACTGCTCTCTGTGGCCGGATTAAAAGCTTCAGATGACTTTTGTGATAATTGGCAACACTTTCCCTTTTACACAGTGCCACATGACAGCTGCAATAGCATTAATTTGCTTACTCAGAACTGCTCTTTCTCCAGCCAGCTTTCAAGAGTTAAGTGCCCTACGGTTGTGGAACCAAGTAAGCTGTAAATGGCAGGAGTCTGAAGCATATTTAACTCTGATATTTATACACTCCTTGAGTGTATAAAATACCCACTGTCTTTCTTGCTCAGATTGTTTTCTGTCTTTGCAAACCCCCAGGACTGAACTTTTTTGTCTACATAATTTATACCCATGCAGATCCTGCCCTTAATTACTGAAGGGGGGGTGTGTGTATTAGGATTTACAGATGGACACACATGAGTGTTGCAGCCACTGCAAGACTGTGCCAGGTTTGTCCATCACCAAGACTTGATTGTCCCTGTGCTCACAGGTCCAGAATTTGGGGGGCAGAAGAACTGTGTTTACATTGGAATGGTCACGGAGGATCTGGATGTGTCGGAGTTGGTTGAAACCATTGCAGCAACAGGCAGAGAAATTGAAGAAAATTCAAGAGTATGTATTAATAAATCCCAAAATATTTCAGTGCCCTTTTATTTCCCCTTTCATATTGGCTTCAGGACATGGTTTTGTTCTTTGTGAAAGTAAAAGTGGTACTTGCCCACAACAGTCCTAATTACCGTGGAAGGAATGTTTTGTTACAGATGGTGATGTTCTGAGGATGTCTGGATTTGTGTTCATTGTCCTGTGTGCAGTAATTTTAATGAAAAACTTCAGTGATACTGAAATAGGCTCATTTTGTCACTAAAATTTAAGCTGTCAAAAAACAAAAGGTGGGGGTTGATTGTGAGCTGATGTTTCTCTTCACTGATTAATGTGGTGGGATTGAAATTCTTTATATACCAGTTTTAAGATAAAACAATGCCTTAAAATACGTGAAAAACTTTAAATTGGTGGCTTAAAACCAGAAATTACAAATAATCTCTTAAAGTAATAAAGCTGATGATGCAATTCCTATTTGTCAAAGCATTTACCTGAGTAGAGCTCTCCAAATGTTCTCTGAAGCAGAATCCCTAAATGACCTGCATCTTTCCTCTAGTCTTGGGCATTTACTTTCCTCACCTAAAAAATAATCAGAACTTCAGAACTCCTTGGCCTGTTTCTGCCCACAGGAATATGGTGCCACTTGCCCCATTTAGGTGAGGGATGGTTGGTACAAGAGGGAAGTTTTTAGAAAAAAAACATACATCAGTTCCAGCCTGCCCTGAGGACATACAGTAAATACAGTAAAAACTTGTGGACAAAGTCCTTCTAAGGTGAAGATAAACATCTTGAGTGGGCCAGAAAACACACTGGTTTTTCCTGGTGCTCCAAATGCAATTCCCTTGCACTCCCTGCTGTAGGGAGTTCCTCTGGCTGTTGAGCTTTGGGGGTCAGCTCCTCATTGACCTCTCCCCCAGGAAGAAGGAGCAACTTCCTCTTTTTCCTTTTATTAAGTGACAGTAACACAAATTTTTGGCATTTTGGAGGAAGTGCCTGTCTAATCTAGACCTTAAAACCCATATAAATATATAGAAATTGGCATTTGTCTTACACAACCAAAACTGAGGCTTTGTTTTTTGTTTTCTTGGGTTTGTCCCATCCTTGCCCCTGCAGCTCTCCCAGTGAACTGCCCGTCCTTTGCAGTGTCAAATGTGGCTGGTGCTGGCCTGGCTGCCACAGGCACCAGAGTGGCAGCTGTGTATGTGATCAGAAAAACAAAGGGAGCCCAGGCTGGCATACACCTTGTTAGACTTGCTGCAAGGCTGGTTTAAGTCCCAGGTGCTTCTAGAAACAAAAATGTGCTCTATAAACCTAAAAACGCTTCCCAGATATTCACCTTAGTTGCTAAGCAGGTCTTCAAAGACTTTGGGGGAAAAAAAAGTACCCTTGCTGTTTAAAATTACATTCTCTGCTCTGGGCTTATCTGTTAAAAGTCCTGCAGTCAGCCTGTGCATTCTTTAATTTACAGTCATAATGAAACAGAGATTGTCAAATAATGTCTTAAATTAGAAAAATATCTGACTACCCTGTGTAGGTCCTGAAAACCTGAACTGAAAAGACAATTTCAAGTCTGAATAATATATGTAATTATTTCTGGGTTTTACCAGCTATTGGAAAACATGACTGAAGTTGTTAGAAAAGGGATACAGGAAGCACAGCTACAGCTTCAGAAAGCAAATGAAGAACGACTTCTGGAGGAGGTGAGGCTCTAACACCTGCTGTACCTTGAGAGAACTTGTCACAAATGGGTCACCTGCTCACCAGACAGTGTTGGGTTGTGCTTTGCAGGGGCTGCTGCGACAGATTCCCGTGGTGGGCTCTGTGCTGAACTGGTTTTCCCCTTTCCAAGCCTCTCCGCAGGGAAGGACGTTCAATTTGACAGCAGGTAAGGCACCTGCACCTTGTTTTGCTGTTGCTGGGACTGTTCCCAGTTTGACACTGAACCTGCAACACCTTCCTGTGCTGGTGGGATCATGAGTGACGTGATGCACCCCCAGGATCTACAAGAACGTGCTTTGCACTATTTCTGCAACACCCCGGAAGAACCTTCAACCCTCAGTCGTACAGTTTATGTTTTGTTCTCGCTTGTTGAGTCCCATTAAGAAAGCTGTGACAGACACTGGCATTTATTAATAGAGGAATCATTTCTGGGACTTTTGGCTGCACGTGCTGCAGGAGTTTGGGTTTATCAATGTGTGAGCTGGTGGGGTAGCTTGGCCTTTGCACGCTGCTCCCTCCTGTGAGCGCATGTGCACCCTCCCCAGAGTGCTGGCACTGTGCTCTGCTGGGCCCCTGGAACTGTGGCTGTCCGAAATCCTGGCTTGGGATATCACCTGCTATTGCCGTGTTGTAAACGCTGCATGTCCTGCAGGGACAGCTGACAGCCAGCTGGGACTGGCATGGACTGCGCTGTGTGGGAGACAGCAAAGAACAGAATAGTACAATGGCAAAGACACTTGTTTTACTCTCATAGTTGTAATTCATGTCTGGCGATGTGGAAGGAGCTGCCTTTAAGCTTTTACATCGTTGAGATTGATGTACCAACATAATACTTTCTGAAATTATAAATTTCCACTTTGAAAATACTGTGGCAGAATTAAGAATTAATATTCCTGGACTCAGCAGTGTCTGTCACACCTGGCCTGGCTGTCTGTGTGTCTGTAACCTGCAGGGAAGGGTTCCTGCTGTGCTTGGGGCCTTTCTGGTTCTGGATGCACCAACTGGCAGGCCCTCCCAGCAGAGAACAGCCAGGTTCCACTGGGAATGCTGACCCTGCATGGTTGATGCCCCTTCCACGGGCACTGCTCCATAGCTTGCAGCTGGGAAGAGGTCGGGTGCCCAGAGGAGAATGGCAAAGGGACTGCAGGGTGTAGCAGTGTGTGAAGTGAGTGTGATCCATTTCTGAAGTGGGAACACTCGTGTCCCGGGATACTCAGAAATGGATCCACCAGCACGTGGCAGTTTGAACTCAACCAGCACATGCAGTTTCAGAGATGTGCATTAACAAGCAGACTGTTACATACCTTACAAATGCAAACAGAAAACTGCTCCAGCCTGGGTTATGGTCAACATTTTTTTTTTTTTTTTAAACTCACAGGCTCTCTGGAATCCACAGAATCCACGTACGTGTCAAAGGCCCAAGGAACAGGCACCACTCCACCACCTACTCCCACCTCCAGCCTTGCAAAGCAAAGACTTCCTGGTGAGTTTTTGTGTCTTAGTTTAATTTCTAAAACTTGCTAAAACATCCTGATACAGGATGAGCCACATGATTTACCATTTTTCATAATATCTGGAACTGGAGCTCATCTTCTACCACCTTAAAAACCTTACTGTACACATGGCACAGACCACCACCCCAACCTCTTCTCCCAACAAATTCTTCCTAGGGCTACAGGAAGTTGTTATCCCATTAACTGACAACAGTCCATGAAGTCTGGAATCTTCCTCTAGAATATTTTGAGGTTATTGAACTTTATAAAAATGAGCAAGTGACAAGCCAACAGTTCTATCTGAAATAAAAGCATAACATCATGTAATCATGTACTTCAGCAACTGCATTTCTACTGCTACCACATATTTTGTGGACAGAGTCCTTCTAAGGTGAAGATCTGTTCAATCTATGGCACTCTCTGTATAGTTGTATTAGTAATAAATGCTGATCTGATTGGCAGGAAACCCACAGTTTAACTCACCTTTTGAGCAGGTGGCTTCCAGCCTGTAGTTTTCCATGCAGGTTTTTTCCCTGGAATGACTTCAGTGTGTGTGTGGGCAGTTTGGTTTCAGCTCAGTTTTACCTGTCCCTGCATATACAGGATACAGGGACAGGTGCTTTTACTTTGCAGACCCGTCTCCAGTTGCAGGGGAGGGTGTCAATATTTAGGTACAAAGTAGCACCCAAACCAAACCTGTTTTTTTGCTGTTGTAGAATTCCAGTGCTTCCTTTGAAACTGAACTTGTGCACAGCAATGTTTGTGTTTGCTGCCTTCATGGGTACTGTGCTTCAAACACTTTGCAGGTCAGAAAGCTTTTAAAAGGTCTCTACGAAGCTCTGATGGGTTCAGTGAGACCAGTTCCATCAGCCACTGTGATGACCTGGAGAAGATGGATCAGAAACCCCCAGCTCTATCCCCCAGCCAAGAGCAAGGACCTTTGGAGACAGAAAAACCAGAGGAGCAAAAGGAGGTGGCACAGGCACAGACAAACACTGAGGACACTCACAGTGACAAATCACCACCTGACTGTGCAAAGGGAGAGGATCAAGCAAGTGAAAGATAAAATCCAGTGTGGATTTCAGACTTTGCCAAGGCAGCCCCTGCCCAGGGAGGCAGGGTGTTAATGATGCATTGCAAATGTGAACAGTGCCACACACTAGTACAGTAATAACTACTGTAAGTTATTAACTGGGATTTTGCACAAATATAAATTCCCTCCCCTGGGACAGAGATTTGTCTTATCATACTCTTGTTACAGTTGCTTTAATCCTCTACATGTTGGTGTCACCAAAGCAGTAGTGAAATTTATTAAGTGCTCATAAACATTTGTAAAAACACTTGGCAATTATCCTTCCTGCAGGAGTCTCTGCATGGTAACACTTGCTAACGAACCCATCAGCCATGCACAAGGGTAAAAACACAGTTGCACCCAATAATTATAAAATGATCTTATGCTACTACATTTTATATAAAAAACCCCCAAACAAACAACTGCCAGTTGTTCACCTTTTTAGTATTTACAGTTGAGTTTATCCTCTCCTGCAGTCACACTACTGTCCTGCTTCCCCTTGTTACCTTATCCAGCACCTTGCCTGGCAGCCGCTCTGGGAGGGCCCGTGTAAATGAGGCTCACTGAGCGTGCTTGGCCAGCCACCCTTTGTTCTGCTGTTGTACTTCACCCACCCAGCCTGGGTGCAGTGGGGACCAAATTCATGAGTTCTGGGCCCTTTAGAAAGAGACAGTGCCTCTGCATGCCTGAGCAGCTCCCTGCTTCCACCCCTGGGAAGGATCACCAAGGCACCGTTGCGTTCCTTTGCACGGCATTCACACGCCAAATCCGCTCGCACACGTCGATGTGGTGTAACTGGAGTTCTTTCTGTTGTGTATTTTTAAAGATAGCTGTAGTAAAGCTTGAAAAACCAATACATTTGTGATGGTTTCGACACTTATTTTTTTGAATAACAGTAACTTACCTATGGTAGGAATTGTACAGACTCTAAAGGAACTCTTAAGGTTATTTACAGTACAGCACAACTTCAGAGTGTCTCGGACTAGTTTGGATAAATCAAAACCCAAGGTCTAAAAGCGTTTTCCTCCCGGATCATCTTAATCACTTTGCTGCAGATTTTCAGAGCCTCTTCTGGAAAGATCTCTGACAACACTTGCTTTTCCTGAGTTACCACCTCATCCCTGTAGAACTGGATACAAATACTGGGTTTTTCCTCCCCTCCCGCTGGGTATCCATTAATAATACCATAATGGCTGTGGTGGTCCTGGGGCTTACTTTAATAATCTGAAAAATTTAGGGTTTTTGAATTGTACTGTCATCTGATTTGGTTCTCAGCTCCTCAAGCCTGCAGGGCTGGGATGCCACAAACAAGGTTAATTTTGCTGTTGGGGTAATTTATGTAAATCAGTGCAATTTTTCTAAAGTGCAAAAGCAATTAAGTTGACTAGTCTTCCTCCTTGGTTTCTTTGGTGCAATGAAGTATGTTAATAATAAGAGTAATTTGTTGAAGATGAAGTTATCACCACAAAGATTAATTTTTAATGTTTTTTATATTTGGAAGTGTTAAATCAGTAGTTTTGTTGGAATGAGCTTCATTCTTCTGAATGTTTCAATAAAGATTCTTCAAATTATCACTCTGGAATTAAGTTCTTGTTGAAGGACACTGCCCTACATTTCAGCAAGCTCTGTGTGTGTGCAGCTTCCTTTCCCTGTGGGTACAAAATCACTTTCTGAAGTGCACACCAGTGTAGTGACTCACCTTCTCAGTCTCCAGCACTGCCCCCTCTCTACCTGTGCCCATCAAATTACTGCACTGACAACAGACCCTAAATAAAGCCAAACTCTTACTCCAAAAAACCCTTATTCCTACATAAGTAATGCAGAAAAAGCAAGTTACTTCTATCAAAATATTTTATTTTGAAAAGCACAGGAACAATGGTATTTGTGACCAGCAATATCCTTTTTACAACAAATTGCTCGTCTTGCAAGACTGTACTTTCCCTAAAGCAGTGATGGCAGTTGCTTCCAGGTTAGATCTTGTCAGAACAAACCTGTTCCCACAGCCCTTCTTGGTTTTTTTTGTAGATGCGAGGCTTCTTGTCGGGGAACAGGGAGCGGGATGGAAAGGGATGTGCTTTTAGAAATGTTAATGTCGATCGGATGTGGGAAACAAAGTGGGGGGGCTCAGCCAGGGGCGACGTGGAAAGATTCTGAAAAAGAAGATGGGAGCAAGAGCTGCTTGACATGCAGAGCACGATGTTCTCCAGATCCTGCCTTCCAATAAGGATATTGCCCACCCTCCCAGGGCCAGCAGTGCACTGGAAGAAGTTCTGACAGACTGCACCCCCCTCTCTACTCAGTCAGAAGGGAAAAAAAAAAGTTCATTTTCAGGTACCTGTAAAATCTGTGCATCATCTTGTTCCAACCAGAAATCCACGTGTGGGAAAGGCCCCCAGAAATAAGGCCCAATACGGAGCTGTTCCGTCTTGGCATCGTAGATGTTGGTGAGCTGTAAGAACACAGGGAGCCTGCAGGGTCAGCCACTGCTCACACTGCACACACACTCCCTTACTCTGCGGGCCTGGGGCTCAGCTCCTGTCCCAGACACGCCGTGGGCCAGCTCAGCCCTTCCTTCTGACAAACATGACATCAAACAGCAGCAGCAAACCCAGAACCCAAAGACAAAGAATGCTACTGAAGGATTTTGTTTCCTCAAACTTTGGGTATTTCATTGTCCCCAAATGGTCTCCCCTTCTGACAAAAATACCATTCATCCCCTCCCCATTATTTTTACTCACTGGTGCCCCTGTTAAAACATGGGCTGAACGCAAATCCTCATCCGGCCCTTTTTCTGGGAAGGTTGCAGGGAAAATCTCTGCTGTTTTTACATTCACAGCTGGGAGGAAAGAGATGAAATACAGAAACAATTAATTCCTACAAGGCACTTGTTTACAGTGACCATGTCCCCAACACAACTGTGTTGCAGAACTTCAGAACCCATCCCCCTCTGTTGTATTTTCAGACCCCTGAGCCTGCAATGACACATTTCTATTCCATTTCTTTTGGCAGCACTTTAATATTCCAGAGATCCGTGAACTAATTAGAAAAAACACTGAATAATCAATAAGAAGGTTGAATTTTAAGCAGAAATTTAGTGCAGTAGCTTGATATTGATAAAAGCCTAAGTGCAGTTAAAGGAAAAAAAATCTGCTTGCCTTCGTACACAGCCCCTCCTACCTGTGCTACTGTGGTACCACAGGACACTTCTACCTTCACCTCTGACAGCAGCTTGTAACTTTTATGATGGAGTTCAGCCAGTCATTAACTACAAGCCCATTTACTACTGGAATCTGAAAACCAATCCAGTTACAAAAATATAATTCTAATTTACTCACCTATTCCATAAATGATTGGAAAGTGAATATCCTGTTCTTCTCTATCATTTAGTTCTGTAAGAGAAAAAAAATCAACTTGCAGGGTTTTGGATTTTTCTGTGAGCAGCATTCATTTAGTTGTTTTTTGATAACATACAAGGATCTGATGTTGTAAAGACAGAAAAAAAACAAGGAAGCCTAAAAGAAATATGGAAAAGAAGGTGCAGGTTCTTGGGGGCTGGAGCAGAGCTGTCTCCAAACAGAACAGTTGGATCCAGCCAACTGCCTCCCACTTCTGCATTGGCAGTTTATAGGGAAAAAAACACAATGCAAAATGACCACGATGCCAGGTTTCAGTGTTAGTCACCAACAGCACTGTCATGGAAAGAGGAAGGAAAAGGAAATAACTTCCTCTAAGTGACATCACACACTATGAACTAACTGAAGGTGTTCAGGAGTTCACTGGAGCCTGCAGGGAGGCAGGTCCAGCAGCCCAGCAGGGCAAAGGTCTGCAAATGCCCTTCTCAATTGTCTCGTAGGATCTGCACGGGTACAGAGCCTGTTCCACAGGGCACGTGGGCCACAATAACCTGGCCAGGATCACAAGGGGCTCTGCTGTTGGTTTTGCAGTGCAGCAGAACTTGGTAAGGACAGAATCCTGCTGTGTTGGCGCTGCCATCACCCCCACTAACCACAATAAAACTAACAATTACAAATGGTTATGGGGAACTCATGCTGTTCTGTCTCACAGGATGGATAAAAAGCCAGGAAAAGACCCCTGCCCTTTGATTGCAGTAGCTAAAGGTACTTCCAAACCCAAGGAAAGATTCTCTTACCTGTTACACAGAAGGTCACTAAATGAACATCATCTGGCTGCAGATCGAACGCTCCTACGGCAACAGGGACAGCACAATGTGTGAGTGGGGGTGGCAGGGCAGGGGCTGAGTGGGCATTGCAGTGGTGGGCACACCCCTAAACCACTGCTCCTTAGGAGGGCACAGCAAACAGCCTTTTGCATGTTTGCTTCAAACTCACAGCAATTTACAGAGGAGCCATTTGTAACAGCAAAATCGTGCTAAAAAAAAGTGTTGTGCCATTCACTGCTTTACTGACACTGGTTTAGCTCTGGCATCACACCAGCTCTGCTTTAGTTCACTATACACATCTAGCAGCTTATATTTTAAAGTTTTTTTCCTAAAATGTTACATATATAGTGAGCAAACCCAGTCTTTCACTAGTTGTAAATTAAATCTGCCTTTTACCATCTTAAAACTCCAGGAAAAAATTTCTCTTTTTTTTTTTTTCGAAGTTCTGACAGCAATACAACCTGATTGATTGAAATTGTAACTTGAGGCATGAGAATCAGAAGGTTGAAAAAATAAGTTAACCAAAATACCTTATTCTGTACAGAGCTCTCCTATGACATATAACACAGACCAGGTGTAACAGCCATGAGGCTGCAGACCAGAGCTTTGCTGGTTCCGTTTTCCTTTTTGTTAATCCCCTTAAACACCTTCCCCCTCCCTCCCCATTCCAGTGGAGTGGAAGCCTCTCCACACTCAAAGTGCTCAGCACAAGAGCACTTGCAGGTAAGGCAGGTACTTTATGTTTCCAATTTGAGAGTAAAGCACTGCCATCACCGCTCTGGACAATGGGTTTTACAAACATTTTTCATCAGGCAATCCTGAACAGTAATTAAATTTTACCTCATCCCATTAAGGTATGAACTGAATGGTGATTAATGAAGTCACCCCCACTCACAGATTTGGAGAGTGTCACCACTTGCCCAAGATCACAGAGGGGATCAGCAGGAGTCAAGCCCAGCTGAAGTGCCTCCCAACTCTCCACACCCCAATAGGAGCCAGGGGGAAGTGGCAGGTTCAGCCCCTGCATCCCACACACTGCCCAGGGAGCAGCCCCAGCAGCCCAAGCCCTCTCCACACCGAGTTCTCAGGCACAGAACAACACCCTTCAAAACAAATCCACATTTCTTTCCACAAAATTACTGGGGACTCAGATTACAAACAAACTTCACCCACATCCAGCCAGAACTATTGTTTTTGGACATGAGAGTGGAAAAAAAGTGAACTTACTAAGAAGCTGATTAGTAAGTTTTTGTGATAACTGCCTATCATCATTGAAACCTCCAACTAGGTGCACTTCCAGCCTAACAGAGATGGAATAACAGGAAACAGCAATTAAAAAGACATCTCAAAATGAATAGCTTTACAAAATAATCCCCAGCCCAAACTGCAAAGCAATCATTAGAGAAGCCTTATTACAATGACATGCACCAAGCTGGTTTGCATTGCACAGCAAGTTATGGGAACTCCATTCCCAACACTTGAGGGATCATAAATGGCACAGAACAGAAGCTTTAAAAGGCATTACATACATGCAATTCTAACCCAGGGGTACCTCTGATGGTCAGCACCTCTGGTGTGGATGGAACTTTGTAACCACCTTTTAGTTCCTGAAAAAGGGTCAACTAAACATGAAGATTTTTGTTCCCATGACCTCCTCACAACTATTCTGGTCTATGCA